ACCGAATTGTGAATCTAAATCATTCTCGAACCCACTTGAATAAATTTAATAAATAAAAACAACTTTGAATAAATTAAAAAAAAAGCGTTGGTTGCCTGTTGTCAATAGTAAAAAGCACCCCACGCTTTTTTTCAAATTTATTAAAATTTATTTTTTATTTTTTAGTTTGGTTTTCTATAAAAAGCGTGTTATTTAGTTTTTGAAAACTATTATTTTTATACATATAGATTTGAAGGGTAGGTATATCTACCGTCTAGTCATATTATTACTCTTTCTGTCAATGTTAATAAAAATTGGTCAAATTTATATTTAAAGAAATATAATAAAATATTAGTAAGACTGGATGGCGTAGTAGTTTGTGTAACGGACTGCCATTCCAAAGGTCGCGGGTTCGATTCGCGCTCAAGTCAAACATTTGTGTGCATGAACATTTAATGTTTGATTTGGTCTCTGAGTTTCTATGTATAATATGTATGGATTTCACAAAAATCGTAATAATAAGACACTAGAAATGAATTAGCGCCCGATTACTTCCAAAGCCGATGTCGCCACATCTTAACACATATGTACACAGAATACAAACAAATAGATATCAACATCTCGTGCAAAAAGAACAAAATCAGCAATAGTAGGTACTCGTAATTGTACAAAAACGGAAAGTAATACGAGTAAATGAATGTAAGTAAACAAAGGAAGATATCATATTTAAAGTATTCATCCAGATGGAAATTAGTAAAAACAATGATTGTATAATAAAATATTTATATTATAAAATTTCTTCGGTGAGTTTATTTTTTACTAATATAAGAAATAAACTCAAATCTTATGCCTTTATTAGTTAAATTACACGTCCCTAATGAGTTTTAATAACCCATTATGCTGCAGTTCACCATTTTAATAATATAAATTTCATCTATCCATCCCGTGGGTGTCGTAAGAGCCAAGGGAGAAAACTACGCAGGACAACACCACTGCAAAGAGAATGAAAACTTAATACAAACCCTTTACCAACCCATCTGGGCAGCGTGGTATAGTAGGCCAAAACCTCTCTTTTGAAGAGAGGCCTATGTCCAGAGGTGGACTGTTAAAGGCAGTTGATGATAATATTTATCAGCAGTCTGATCGCTCATAGGCTCTGCTTAAGTTATTATTATTCCACAATGAGGGCAAATATTTGTATTCATAAATATGTCTATAAGCGTTAGTTTTGTTTAAATATTTCTTATATATATTTACATACAACAAAGTATCTATCTAAATATTCGTAATACCCTTTTGATTCCTATATAAGCTGGGTTCTGTTTAGCGCAATCTATACACGGGCCTGTTGGTGTAGTAGTTAGTGACCCTGACTGCTAAAACGGAGGTCGTGGGTTCAATTTCCACCCAGAACAAATATTGTGTGATGAGCACGGTCATTTGTTCTGTTCCTGGGTGTAATTTATCTATAATATGTATCTATTTAAAAATATATAAGTATGTTTATCAGCAGTCTGGTTACCACAGTACAGGCTCTGCCTAGTTTGGGATCAGACGGCCGTGTGTGAAATATATATTATTACTAGCTGAGATCCGCGGTGTTACCCGCGTTTGTTGTTATAACCGCGGGCAACGCCGCGGGGCGAAGCTTGTCTAAAAAAAGTAGCCTAAGTTACTCCTTATGTCATCAGCTATCTGCCAGTGAAAGTCCCGTCGAAATCGGTGCAGCCGTTCCAGAGATTACCAGGAACAAACAGACAGACAGACAGACAAAAATTGAAAAAAATGTTATTTTGGCATATGTACCGTGTAAACATACATATGCATTTAGTAAAAAGCGGTTTTTTAATTTCAATTTTATTTATTTGTATAGATTACATTATTATACAAATAAATAAAATTGAAGGGTCTGTTTATATTGTCATTTGTTGTTGTTGTTGTTGTCATTTGCACGATACATAGGCCTTTATTTTTTTCTGACTGTTTTGGGTAATCTTTTTTGATAATATTTTACTAGCAGGTAGCTATCTATATAAGGAGTGACTTAGGCTATTTTTCCTCTCAGAATCGAACCCGAGTCCTCATGGGCTGTAGTCGCGTGCCGTAAGTTTCTTCACTACCACTAAGGCAGCGATTTTCAAATTCCACGCAAACGAAGTCTCGGGTACCAGCTAGTATTTAATATATTTATTATCCTAGAAGCACCAATAAATCAACATAACATTTTACATGTTACCTAACTTATTGTTAAAATATCTATAATATTAACAGAAATCGTAATAAGACACTAGAAATGAATTAGCGCCCGATTACTTCCAAAACCGATGTGCGATGTCGCCACATCTTAACACATACACAGAATACAAACAAATAGGTATAACACTCGCACACACTTGCAAAACAACGGTGAAATGTATGGGTCACAAACTATTATGAACCTTAAACTCTAGGAATTACATTGCATTTTACTCCATTGTATTATGTGGAACCACTACAATCTCCTTCCATGCATGAGAATCCCTGTAAACAATGCTAGGGATTGACTAAATTTTTCGAAGGGTTTTATATTTTTTTTTATGTGCATTAAAATAAAAAATGGATTAACAGTAGCAATAAAAAACCCTAGATATATACTATTTTTTAAATATTTTAACAGTAATGATACTTATAAACGAATAGTACCTATTATAATAATAATAATATAGTTTTGGAGTTTGGGTGTTTTCTATGTATAATATGTATGTATTTACAAAAAAAAGTATACAGGCATTCTAATAAAAAATATACAGTAAATCTAGCTTTCATAGTAAAAGCTCTGCTTAGTTTGCAACTAAATGGCGTTGTGTCAAATGTCCTAAATATTGTTAATAACAATATTTCGGACTTTGAATAAAAAAAACTGATGAATTAAATTTATAAAAAAAAACTGAAAGCTCACAGGAACAAAAAATTGAAACAATAAGCTACTAATGAACAAATAGTTCTTTCACATAACAATTAGATTTAAATTAATGCAGAAATCTATACTAATATTATAAAGCTGAAGAGTTTGTTTGTTTGTTTGTTTGAACGCGCTAATCTCATGAACTACTGGTCCGATTTGAAAAATTCGTTCAGTGTTAGATAGTCCATTTATCGAGGAAGGCTATAGGCTATATATCATCACTCTAAGACCAATAGGAGCGGAGCACCAATGAAGACTGTTTCAAAAACGGAGAAAATTTATTACTATTGAGAGACGCAGACGAAGTTGCACGGGTCAGCTAGTAAGTTATTAAGAAGTAAGTAATAAACAGAGTAGTTTCCTTTTTTTATATTTACATACTAGCCGACCCGCGCAACTTCGTCTGCGTCTCTCAATGGTAATAAATTTTCTCCGTTTTTGAAACATTCTTCATTGGTGCTCCGCTCCTATTGGTCTTAGCGTGATGATATATAGCCTATAGCCTTCCTCGATAAATGGGCTATCTAACACTGAAAGAATTTTTCAAATTGGACCAGTAGTTCCTGAGATTAGCGCGTTCAAACAAACAAACAAACAAACAAACAAACAAACTCTTCAGCTTTATAATATTAGTATAGATTCGTGAACTGTGTAATACCCTTATTCCTAACGCTATGTTTGAAAATATAGTTAACTACATAAGTAAGTATCTCTAATAGTTGATGTTATTAGTAACTCTACAAAATGAGTTTAATGACCCGTAAAATGAAGACATTTATTTAAAATGTTTTCTTTAACATCAGGATATTTCGGGAATCTAAAAATTAATTATAATTATGTGATAATAAATAGGAATATAATTATTTATGTTTCCTAATAAAACATTTTATTTAAATTTATCAGCATGCTAAACATTTATAGACGCAAACTTAAACAAGTAATTAAGTTCCCAAAGAATTTATTGTATAATTTATGTTAAGAACATTTTACCTACACATCTGGTTTATTTTTTTACATTCGTAATTCTGGAAAATATCCTTTTATACTAATATCGATATAAACTGTACTTTCATTGAAATGTATGGAACGGTTACATCACTAACTGCCTGTGTTAAATTTTAAATGTTTATAATACAGCAGCAGGCTGCCGTATTATAAACATACGCTACGAACGACGATATCTAATGTTTCACATTACATTGCTTGGCTGGTTTGTCAACTTTGCGTGCAATAAGAACCAAAGCAGAAATAGTAATTGTACAAAACGGAAAGTAATAAATGAACATTTACAAAGGCAGATATAATATTAAAGTATTCATCGAGATGTAAATTAGTAAAAATGTTTTATTTGTAAAAAATAAACTTACCGATGAAATGTTATGCCTTTATTAGTTGAATTACACGTCCCTGATGCGTTTTCACAACCCATTATGCTGCAGTTCACCATTTTAACAATATATATTCAACTCTGCGCAACAAAATCACGAATGGTGTGAATTTCTGTAAGTGGTGTTCGTCTACACATCATTGCGGCGACAAGGTCAAGCGTCTTATTAATACGATTTTTATGATAATATCTATTTGCAATTTAAAAAACAACGTTAATTCATCTGTTTTTTATCTATGATAGCGTTGCTTTCAGATTTATTGTTCAATCAACAGCTCAACTATTATGTAAACCATTAAATATCATTTCGTAAACATTTGTGGCTACTTCAAACGATATCAGCAATTACCATTAACTTAAAGAAATAAATCTATATTATCAGGATAAACTGATCGTCAACAATGATTGATAATATCACTTTGAAATATAAGCCGTAGCCTACAAAATAATGATAAATTTTATCTAAAGCGTTCTCTTATCGTCATCGTAACGTCCTTCAGACAATCAAATGAGTATATAAGTTAAAGCGACGAGGTGTCCCATCCCTACTCGACGCGCGAACTTGCTGCGTTGTTCAGTTCAGTTCACTTCACTCATTCGTCCCGCTGACATGGCTTTTGTGTGGTTACGGACTAGTGAATTATTTTTATTATTATTTTTAATAATTAATACGTGCGCCGGGACGCCGCCATGGATATTTTCGGTAAAACAAAACACTAAAACGTGTGATATTAATAAATGTGTGTATAATATAGATGTGAGCGCGGTTAAAGTTGATGAATGGTCGCTAACTTTTGAGCCGGCATCGGATCAAAATTGTGGTTCGTATCTTGTGAGTAAAGTATTTGAGAACGTGGATATAAATATTGATAACGATGGCAGGAAGGTGTACTTCTGTGCTAAGAGCGATGGTGTGTGGCACCATCAAGGAGAGGGTATATATTTGGATGCAAATGACGTCATCCCGCCAGCCGACACAGAAATGTGAGTACTCATATCTAATTAGAATTTAAAAGTTTATGACTGCATTGCCAGATTATGCGTAACCATTTATTTTAGGAAAACATATCTGATAAATTATGTAATTACCTATTAATGACATATTAGTTATAAAGTATAATTTAGTTACTTAGTTTTGTTTTAGTTTATTTCAGAATCGTTATTATTTTTTGTATTGACAATGATAGTATATTAAAATTTAGTGTTAAACGAATATTTTCATGCATTTTGAAAACAGCAGATCGTAAGTTAGTATCAACAAAATTTCTTTTATTTCGCGGTCGGACGGACGAGTCATATTTTTTTTTGGGAAATACTAATATTGTATGTGGCAACATTGTACAACATTGTAACTTTTACGAAAAAGGTGGGCGAACTGTTCCAAAATTTTTACATAATGATTTTGTTTAACGAAGAAGTGAAGCGGAGCATGTTTAGGTACAAACGTAATAGATTTTTTAGACCTAGTATATAATTTATGGCTTATTAAGACATGCCGTTTAGTGTGAAAATGTTCTGTTAAAGTGTGTGTAAATTTGTTTAAACTACCGCGCAATGAGAATTTATGCTGACATCTATACTATATGTAATATTTCAAATTTAAATAGAGAACAGTCCGGTTTTGACAGTGATACGTCATTACGGCTTTTTTTTCTTTTAGCGTACTGCCTCATGGTCGGTTGTCGGAGATAGGGATATTAGAATCCACCCGACGAAAGCCATACAGACTTCTGTCATAGAACTTTTATAGATATCCATATAAATGTTAATGTATATGTATTTATCAGTCTAATATTATACTTGGTTTGAATATACTGAGCTAGGGTTGTCACATACCAATTTTTTATCTTCAATTGTAATGTGTGTATTCAAATATTTTATCTACCGTTATGCAATTTTTTTATCATTAATGGAATAATTAAATTATAAACAAAAGCTCATCGTGTGCCTAAATTATGAAAATAAATTGTAATAAATAACGTAGCTTAACCCCCCCCTCCTAAAATAGGGGGGAGGAGGGGACCTCATTCGCTCCATGCCATGCTTCGGCACAAATGGACCGGAGGGATACGGTCATCTCACAGAAAACCGGTTTAAGCAATTCTTACGTTGGTTTTCATCAAGTACCTGAGGAGTCACTTACCATCAGAGACCCAAGGTCACGGTTGTGATTGGTCAGAAATAAACTCTACACCAATCACATCGCCGAACGCGGTCACCGTGACGATCAAGTAGACTTGAAATAAACGTACACTAGGCCTTCAGGTGACCCGCAGGATTGTTTGCTTCCAATTCAATTCAATTCAATTCAAATTATTTATTTCGGACTATTACATCCATAGTGTTAGTAACAATGTGTTTTAAAAACTAGTGTTAGTATTGAATGATATTATTATTATAGTGTTTGTATTGTAGTGTTAGTATTGAATAAAAAGGACATACAAATAAAGTCTACAAGTAGATGACAAGAATACGTCAACTTTTTTTTAGAGCAGATTTTCCTTTCCTAACTGCACTAGCCCTGAGAAGAATAGACCAAAGAAACTCAGGGATCATCGTCTCTTTCAAAGTTCAGCCAACCTGAAGAAGGTAACGACCCATGTCCAACAGTCCCATGTCCGTGTAGTGACGGATTAAGAATACCGTGTCGCCACCCCTGTTCATCTCGTGTGGGTGTCGTAAGAGCCAACTACCCAGAGCAACAACACTGCAAAAGAGAATGAAAACTTGAAACAAAACCTATACCCACCCGTTTTGCCAACGTGGTATAGTAAACCAAAACCTCCTTCCTAAGGAGAGGCCTATGTCGCGCAGTTGACTACTACAGACTGTTGATGATGATTCATCAATTCACCGGTGGTTGATGATCGTTCTGCACATGCCCAGATGATGACAATAAGCTAATTGATTGACTAAATGACATATAAAAATATCGTATGAAAACAACTAGCAAGCATGGCTTGCAATGCCACGTAAAGTATAAAAAAGTAACCAATAAAAAAAAACATTTATAAAAAGATTTTTTGGCTAGGAACCCTCGCGGACGTACCTAGAATACATTACCAAACTTTTATCATAATCTGAGCGATAGTTTCGAAACGCAGAAAGAAACATATACAAACATGAGTTTTATTTATATAGACAAATATTTATTCGATATATATTTTTTTATGTAGATTTTCTAAGTTAGTTTACAAGTACATAATCTGAAGTGTTAATTCTCAGCCGTAATATTTAAAAAAAAACAATAAACCATCAAACCTTTTCATATCTTTACATTTCATGGACCGAATACAGTTTAAAAATATTTCTCTACTACAACAAGTCACATGTGCTTGATAAAAAAAGTTTGGTCACGTGACTGACGTCATAGTCCACGTGACGGTACATAACATTCGGCAGACGTTTACGTCGTTTTGTGTTTGGTCCAGTCATCAGCTGGACGACCAGAGGGCCAAGTGCAAGTTTATTTCACTTCTACTCGATCGTCCCGGTGACCGCGTTCGGCGCTACGATTGGCTCGCAATGAAATCTCCACCAATCCCAACGCTTAACGCGCTCACCATCGAGAGCTAGTCGATGTGATATAAACTTGCACTTGGCCCTCAGAACCGTGGTATGCGTCACATGAGTTACTTCATGTTACCGGCTACGTGGAAGTCTACAATAATCATGTTTCCCTGCTGACTGACTTGACTGCCTCGGTGGTGCAGTGGTGGCGTATGCGACTGCTCTGCTGAGGTCTCGGCTTCGATTCCTAGGTCGGACCAAATTTTTGTATGATCTGAAAATAATAGTTTCGAAGTTTGGGTGTTTTCTATGTATATGTATTTACAAAAAAAGTATATAGGTATGCCATTAGTCAATCTAGCTCTACTTAGTTTGAAGCTAGATGGCTTTGTGTGTTAGATGTCTGAAAATATTATTATTAATAAACGCTCTCACGATCGGTATTAAGTACATACAAGTACCTTTAAAGTGCTTTGACCAGGTTGCACTGACCACGGTCCCAGGCTGACTTGCCCTGTATTTACTTAATATCTATTTTAATATAACTTAAATATTAATAACTCGATGGCACGCTTCGCTGTGGTTCGTCGTGGCTGCATTGATAAGAAATGAGTAACTAAACTGACACGAATCACTGAGCATCATTAAAAAAACCCCGTCACAAAAGAACACTATAAAAAATAACAAAGCTCATTGGGACTGTTCTTATAAGACCAAATTTTTATACCAAATTTCAGATCAATCGGACCTGTGGATTTTGGTTAGATCCATTCATCACCTAGGAAGTGAGCTCATGATCTTCAAAATGTATATCTAAGAAACATCTCGATCACATCGGCTCTCGAGCAAAAAAATCCGCATTGAAATTGGTCTATCCGTTCAGGAGCTATTATGACAAACCGACAGATACACAGGTTAAACTTATAACGTAAAACGTCGGGGGTTAAAAATAGATAAAAACAAATTTTTGAAGCAGGTTGTATATCGTGTCAAAATTTGAGCTCAATCGGTGCAAAACTTTTTGAAGAGTACACAAACCAGCCTAACATGTTTATAAATATTGATACATACACAAAGGTTCTGGAAGGAGCTTGGTTGGCTCACCTGGCCAACCTTTTCTCGACACATGCGGAGTCAAAATCACGTTCAAAGATTCCGTTACATACATACTCGTACATACCAAGCTAAAAGCGTGTTAAAAATACACTCAATATATTGTTTACAAATAATGTATTTACAAATTAAATTATCTGGCTACTGGTTCTTGACTTCCAGACTAGATTTATCACCTGTGACTTGGGAGCCAGTGTTTCTCCATTATTACATTGATCTATGCTTAAGTCTCCCTAGCCACTGTAAACACTTCTTTCTTTTTGTAACATCTTATTTGGAGTGAATAATTACATACTAAAAGATATACTGACTAAGAGGCGGACATATAAATTATTTTAATAAACGTTATCTTACATGTTTGTTAAAATCTTATGAAAAAGTGTGTGTGTGTTCGTGTAGGTGTGTGTAAAACTAGTTGGTCACGGTAAACCTAAAAAACATACATTGAGAAGTGCATATCAAGATAACTTAGACAGGCTTATTTATTATTTATTTATTTATTTTTTATTTAGGACAAAATAAAATAATAAACATATCAATCGTAAAACAGCAAAGTAATATTTGGCATGCTGCATCTGTAGTAAATACTATTGAGGAACACAGGCCATCGTCGGACCGTGTTGCTCAATGGGTAAATACATTTGAAAGCAATGAATCCCAGTTATATAAAGATACGATGCTAAAAATTTATATTTCTATTTTCTATTTTTTGATAGACAACTCCCGCATTAGAAATGTATCCTGTGTCGCGGGGGTCTTTACAAACATACATGAAACGGACACAAAGAACACCCGGACTCAGAACAACAATTTGTGGATCACATAAAGTGTCCTCCCATGTGGGGATCGAACCCACAACACTGAGCGTAGTAGGAAGCGGCGTGGCGACTGCTTAAACCACTACGTCATCCGTGCAGTCAGTGCAAAATGAATGAACACCATATTTTTTAGTTTTTTCTTCCCCAGAGTTTTAAGTAGTTTGTATGCATTTAGATAAATATAAAAGTATGTTTAGTTAGACAGCAGCCTTTCATAGTCCACTGCTGTACATAGGTCTCTGCTTAGAAAGGAGGTTTTGGTCTTCTAAACTACGCTAGCCAGACGGGTTGGTATAGAGTTTGGGTCAAGTTTTCCTTCTCTTTACTGTTGTCCTGCGTGGTTTGCTCCCTTAGTTGGCTCTTACGAAACCCACGGAATGAATAGGAGTGGTGACACTCCGTATTCACTCTTATTAAAAAAGTAGATTTCTGTCTGTTTAGTTCGACAAGATTGTTAATATCACAACGAACACATACGTTTATTTTAGCACCGTCTCGCATCCTGTCTGTGTCTGGTGTGCTGCCAATTTTCATCTATGATAT